AGTGTTATATTTATTTGTTTTGTGTGGTTGTGTATGTGTGTGGGTGCATGTGTTCTAGAACTAGCTCTGTAGATCAGGCTGGCCTCGGGAACTCAAAGAGATCTGCCGAACTCTTACCTCCTGAGTTTTAGGAATAAAGGCATGTATCATCACTGCCCAGTTTGTTGGAGTTCTTTTTTTTTTTTTTTTAATTATTTTATTTATGTACATGGATGTTCTGCTTGTATGTATGTATATGTACTTTGTGTGTGCCTGCTACCCTGAGATGTGAGCTACCATGTGGCTGCTGGAAAGTGAACCTCGGTCCTCCGCATGAGCAGCAAGTATTCTTTTTTCTTTTTCTTTTAATGTACATTGGTGGGGCGGTGGTGGCACATATATTTAGTCCCAGTACTCGGGAGGTAGAGGCAGGTGGATCTTTGAGAGTTTGAGACCAGCCTGGTCTACAAGAGCTAGTTCCAGGACAGGCTCCAAAGTCACAGAGAAAACCTGTCTCGAAAAAACAAACAAAATTGGTGCTTTGCCTGCATGTATGTCTAAGTGAGGGTATCAGATCTTGGAGTTACAGGCAGATGTGAGCTTCTATGTGGGCTCTGGGAATTGAGCCTGGGTCCTCTGGAGAACAGTCAGTGCTCTTGACTGCTGAACCATCCATCATCTTTCCAGCCCAGAAAAACATTTTTTAAATTACAATCTAGTCCAGTTTAAATGTTGGGAATTACTTTTTTTTTTTTTTTTTAATTGTTCAGATAGGAAAGCAAAACAAAAAGCCACGGGCTGAACTAGAAAATCTCTGAGGAGCCTGACTCAGACATCTTGACTTTCAGCAGCACGTTTGTTTCACAGGGAGAGGACAAAAATTCCTGTCCCTAGAGGCTGGAATGGAAAGAAAACCAGGCAAGTGGGAGCTAGAGAGGCGCAGGCTTTCCCAGACAATCCCTACCCGGAAGTGCTGGGGGCAGCCGCGAGTGCGAGCATGCTTCGGGAAGCCAGGCCACCGAGTCTGATGTTTGAAGACGCAGAGCCTACGATAAATCACCTCCACAACCTGCCAGCTTTCCTGGGCAGTCAGTGTGGTCCCGGGAAGGGGCGGGGTGGGAGGACGCTTGCAGCTGGCAGGGCACCAGAAGAGACTAAATTTCAATTACAATAGGAAACCAACAACTTCCACCTGTATTCCTACCCCCTAATCACTTTCCTCCCTTCCTTCTTTTCCGATAAAAATCCTGCGCTGGCTTCCTCCCTTCGTGGGCCTTCCTCAGCTGAGAGGGATCCATTAAGACTTAAAGCATGCAGTCCTTCTGGTTCTCCCCTACCTCCCTCATAGTGGGTTAGATGCCCTCCAGAGCTCTAGGCCATTCTGTCTTCAGCACACAGGGCCTTTTCGGAGATCCAGGCTGGCTGAGTGCAGCCGGATGATTGATGAGACAAGACACTGGAGCTGCCAGGCAAATGGCAGCTAGCCAGAGATAGGACTCTCACAAGATAGCAGAGCCACCCTGGGGAGAACCTACAGCTACCAGGATATGATGTTCCCTGGGTGGGTACTGCCTGCCCTAGATGTACATTCCCCTCCCCGTGTCCTGTCTTCCCCTCCAGGCCTGGGCAAAACAGAAAACCACAAGGCCCTTTAAATCTTGTACTTAATGCACAGTTCTCCTTTAGTGGGTTTCCCTCCTTTCTGGATGCCAAAAGCAGATCCTCAAAAGATGCCATGGCTTAGGGTGGGGAAAGTTGTTTATTGCAGCATGCTACTCGGTGCAGGTGTTTATAATCTGCCCACTCATTCATGCATGCAGAGTGAGAATTCTCCATAGAGCTCAGCTACCAGCTGTACCGCTCATGTGGTCTTAGAAGGGCTGGCTGGTTTGAATCCAGGCTCCAGCTCTTCCCAGCCGTGTGACTTTGGACAGGTCACTATACCTGCATAAACAGCAGCTTATCTGCACAGGATTCTGTCAGGTGATGCAGGTAAATTGCCTGGAACAGAGCCTGACTTGTGAAAGCTCTGCACATTCTTTCATTCACCCAACAGCTGGAAAGTATGGGGTGGGGGTGGGGAGGCTGTGATGCACCAGGCGCAGGGGCCACAACCAGGAACAAGTCAGAGGGGGTTCTTGGTCTCAGGAATTATCTTTGAGAGGGAGAGAAGACTGCTGAAGATAAACACATGACTGAATGAATGAGCCGAGATGCAAATAGAAGGAGGAGACTGGAAGGTGGTGAACAATAAACAAGAGACACAGACCACTGTGTGACCCAAGGAGTGAAGGGAAAGAGAGTTCCAGGGATGGATAGATAGAGCAGAACCCAGATAAGCCAGAGCAGGGAGGCCTGAAGGCCAGGATGAAGATGTTATTTTAAGCACAATAGGAAGTGACTGTGCTTTAGTTTTTGTTTTGCTTTTTAGCCTGCACAGTTAAAAAAAAAAAAAAAAAAAAAAAAAGAAGAAGAAGAAGAAGGAATGAGTTGCCAATATTTCAAGCAGGGAAGAGTAAGAAGGGGTAAGTTAGAAGCAAGTGTCTGATCAGCTACTGTGGTAGGGTAGGCAAGCGGAAAATGACTTCCATTCCCTGCTAGCTACCTTGGCTGAGCTGATCATTAAGCTGACATGCAGCAGAGGAACAGGAGAAATCCTACATTTAATTATATACTCAAGGAACTGAGGGCATCTGGAACCACAAAAAGTAGCTTCCAGCTTCTGAAGGAGAGATGGCAAGAAGACAGGGAGCCCTGTGAGGAATAAAGGCTGTATTGTCATACAAACAAGTCTTCTAAGGAACCAGTGTTGGAGTGGCCCTGAGATGAGCAGGGAGTAGGCTATCTGGGCATGGTAGCAACCTCCTCCTACCATGGCTGATAAATTTCCTGGAACTAGGGATTCCAGCTTCTGAAGGAGAGATGGCAAGAAGACAGGGAGCCCTGTGAGGAATAAAGGCTGTATTGTCATACAAACAAGTCTTCTATGGAACCAGTCTTGGAGTGGCCCTGAGATGAGCAGGGACTAGACTATCTGGGCATGGTAGCAACCTCCTCCTACCATGGCTGATAAATTTCCTGGAACTAGGGATGGTGGCACATGCCTGTCATCCCAAAATCCTGGAGGTAGAGGCTCTTGAGCTTGAGGCCAATGGCAAAGATCTTTGTGTAACACAGGGCTGATCCTGACCGCCAGAAGATAAGAGATTTCCAGGGAGGGAATTCATGACAACTAAGTTTTGTTCAATGGATCTTACTACGTGTAATGTTTATATTACACACACACACCTTTTATTGAAATAGGATTTTATTATGTAGCATCAGCTGGTCTGAAACATGTTATATTGATCAGGCTGGCCTCAAACTTGCAGCAGTCCTCCTGCCTCTGCCTCTTAGGCTCTGGGGTTACATGTCTGCCACCATGACCAACTGTACTGTATTCGCTTTGGTTGTTGCTTTATTATTATATTTATTTGTGGGGTGAGTTCATGTGTGCCACAGCATACTTGTAAAGGTCAGGGCACAATGTGTAGGAGTTAGTTCTCTCCTTCTGTCCTGTGGGTTCTGGAGATTAAACACGGGCAGTTCTGGCAACAAGTACCTTTACCTCTTGAGTTATTGCTATAATTTTTTTCTTCCTTCCTTCCTTCCTTCCTTCCTTCCTTCCTTCCTTCCTTCCTTCCTTCCTTCCTTTCATTCTTTCTTTTCTTAAAGACAGGGTTTCATGTAGCCCAGATTGGCCTAGAACTGGATATGTAGCTAGGGATGACCTTGAACTTTGAATTTTTAATCCTCCTGCATTCGGGATTACAAGCTTGTGCCATCATGCCCTGCAACAGTGGACTGTTGATAACAACCTGTGATGGCTGAACCATCTTTAGACAAGCGTGGCTAGTGTGAGATGCTCATAGAGAACCTCAACATGCCCCGTGGGTCCCGCAGATGCCCTCAATTCAGAGTATCCATGTACCAATGTGATTTGGGGATGTCATTATCTGATTTCAGTGTTTGGGTTAGGTGGCATCCAAAGCAAATTCCAAAGCAGATTTCACACTGGCTTAAGAACAAGATAGAACAGGTATCCTGGGAGGAAGGGAACAAAAATCAATATGCCCTGGGTGATTCTGTGGTCTTCAGTTGAGCTGCTCTACAGCTGAGAGCACCATTCATCAGCATGGGATGATAGTGATACCTTGGGGACCAGTTCCCAGCCACTCCTTTTAAAACAGTTCTGGTTTTGATTCTGAAACAATGTCCTACTGCGTAGCCTGGAATTTAGTATGTAGACCAAGCTGGTTTTGCTCATCCTATCTCTTGACTCTTTGAGCGATGGGATTACAAACAAGAGAGCCAGCACTTGGCTTTCCCAACTATTTCCTTCTTCTCGCCAGGCTCTGGCGAGGCAGCCTCCAGAATTCCTTCAAGGTAGCACTCTCCATTCACTCCTGCTGGATCCCAGCTGCTGGATCCCAGCAGGTGGCAAGCTAGGAAAAAGCAGCCCTGGAGTGTTCCTCCCGCTGTTTCTCTGCTTTTCTTTATCTACCCAAAGTGGAAAAAATGTTGCTTCAGGGTCCTGGGAAGCAGACTATGTCCTTTGTGCTTTGAAGGGAGGGGGAAGGAACAAAGTCTTTGCAAATCCCTGAGCCCAGGTAACAAGCTGACTGACTGTGGAAACCAAGGGCTTAGCTTTAGAGTCAAAGTGGGTGATGTGCCAAGAGCAGGAAGGCTCAACAGCAGGGAGGCAGATTTTGCAAGCACCTCCTCTTACAGAGGAATTACAGCTGAACAAAAGAGGTTGCTGGGGTCCAAGGCATAGAGGGACTACACATTATGACTCCCAGTTTAGGTCTCACAGATTATGTGTCTCCCCAGCTAAGGGGGACACAGCATCCAAAGCCTACTGTTCACCACCTTCAGGGTGGCCCCTGGCATGCTGCAGCCTTCACCATTCTTATTTAAAGGGAGGGGGCTAAACTGCACCTCATTTTCTAAAGGTTCCTCCTAGTTGAAGCAATCCCATCGTGTCCTTCCCGATTTTCTCTAGTGACCTCCCTCCTCCATCTCCAGTGGACCCTGGGTCTTCTCAGACAACATCTTTCCCCTGGTGGGCAGGTGTGGTTTCAGAGGTTAGGTCTCACACTCAGGCAGATGGCTAATTGGTGTCCATTAGCATATCAAAACGGACCTGTCTGCCAGGTTCTCCCTGCATCCATCCCTTAGTCTCTACCTGTGACAGGATATGCCCTGCATACCCTGCCCCCCTGCCCTAAACTTCTGTAGCCCAGAGGCTGGGCTGCCCTTCCCCCAGCTCTCCTTCCATATATAATCCAGCCATTTTGGTTACTTGGCATTTTTATTTATTCTTCACTCTCCTGGTCTCTTGGTTTGGCTCTCCCATCTCCACTCTCCTCACATAGCCCGTCTCGGTCTGATTGTGTTCAATCTGGACTCTCCCAGAAGCCCCTGCCTCTGGTTATGCTCTTTTATCTACAATAAACGTTCTCCTTCACCACACCTAGGAACAGCCACGTCCTTTCGTTCTTATTTCTTTTTCATTCAGTCCACACTCATCCCTTCACTCTCAGGGGCTGGAGAAGAAATGCTTTGAGATTTTCATGTTGTTCAAGGTCTCTTCATGATGGCACACCACAGCTGGGTAAGGTATAAATGAGTTAGTGTGGTTGTCTTCCCACGAAACTGTCTATGGAAGCTGAATCTAAATACTTTAAATTGTGACTTAAAATTGTTTTTTAAGATTTATTTTATGTGTGTAAATGTTTTTGCCTGTATGTATGTATGTAATGTATGTATGCATGCATGCATGTGCACTGTATGTATGCCTGGTGCCTATGCAGAAGAGGGCATCAGGTCCTCTGGAACTACAGTTACAGATGGTTTTGAGCCACCATGTAGTATTTGGAACTGAACCTGGGTCCTCTGCAAGAACAAGTGCCCTTAACTGCTGAACCAGCCACCTCTTTAACGCCTTCTGAGGCCAGAAGAGGGTGTCGAATCCCGGGGAACTGGAGTTAGACACTGGAGTTTGAGACAATTGTAAGCAGCCATGTGGGTCTTGGGAATTGAACCAGCATCTTTTGGAAGAATAGACAGACCCCCAACACCCAGTCCTTTTAATTTAGACTTTTGAGGCAGGTCCCTCAGAGCCAAGGTGACTTTTGTTTTTATTTTCCCATCCATCTAAAACCTTAAAAATCACTCCTCGCTACCAGGTTGTATTAAAACAGGAACCTGGCTTTGTGCCGTGGACTTCTGGGTTGGTGTCTCAGCCTTACTGGAACTGGTTATCTATAAGATGCTAACAACTAGCTGGCTGACAACTAGGTGATGGTGGCACCTGCCTGTAATCCCAGTACCCAGGGAATGAAGGAAGATTAAAAGTTCAAAGTCATCTTCTGAAAATTAGGGAATTTGAGGCCAGCCTGGGTATGTGAGACTCTCTCACATAATAAGCAACAACAACTACTAAATAAATAAATAAACAGAAAGTGAAAACACTGTCCAAAGATTCTACTGTCCCACAGCTTCCAAAGATGCTGCTATCCCACAGGTATAAGTGTGTGTGTGTGTGTGTGTGTGTGTGTGAAGTCTGACAACAGGTGGATTGGGTATATAATGCTGCTTTGTTGCTGGTTGTTTCTGTGTACATACAATTCCATTTTGTTGTTGGTGTACATACAATTCTATTTTGTAGCTGATGTATATACAATGCTATTTTGTTGCTGGTTGTTGCTGTATACACACAGTGCTGTTTTGTTGCTGGTTTATATACAATTCTATTTTGTTGCTGGTTGTTGCTGTGTGTATCCTCAGCAGACGTGAAAAACTTGAGGATAGCATGGTGACCTAGGCCCCACATTTATCCCTTTTCTTTTCCCTTTGCTTCTTTCTGTGCTTGTTTTTCAGGACAGGATCAAGGCTGGCCTTCATCTGGTAGCAATTCATCTGCCTCAGCCTTCTGAATGCTGGGATTACAGACAGGTGCTACCATGCCAGGTTCACCCCATTTCTTAAGCACATATGATGAAGCAGCTACTTGTGTTAATTCGTACTATGCACTACCTCGGTCATGCTGGATAAATGAGATTAAAAATGATGTAGTCCCAGACAGGAGGTGGGGGTGCATGCCTTTAAACCCTGCACTTGGGAGAGAGAGGCCGACAGATCTCTTGATGTACATCTCTTGAGTTCAAGGCCAGCGTGGTCTACAGGGCTATTTCCAGGACAGTGAGGGAGGACTGTTACATAGAGAAGCCTTGTCTCAGATAACCAAAGGTGGGGGACAGAAATGATGTAGCCCCATTTTATAGGTGAGAAACTAAAATCAAAACCAAGATTTTTTATTTGTTGGTGTTTTCTCTTGTCAGATTTTTGAAATAGTGTTATTACCCCACTGAGCCATCTCTCCAACACCCCTATCTGCCCACCCCCAAACACACTTTTTGCAATGCCTGGGATGGAGCCCAAGACCTCATTGTTATGCCACGATCGTGAGACCCCAAAAAGACCACCAATGAGCCGACTCATCGATGAAAATATACCAGGTCTATTGTTAAGCTACAAGCCTTGGCAGGAACCCTGTCCAGAAAACTGGCACAGCAACTGCAGGGAAGATGCCTGGCCTCAGTTGCAAGGGTTTATAAAGGGAAAAGCTGCAAGCAGGGTGGTACATGTCTTGGCTGTTCAGGATTGGATAAGAGTAGGTGACATTTGGATTCATTGACTGGGGTCTAGGGAAATTTCAGAGTTGTTACTAACAGTTGTCCACAAGGATAGTTGTGGCAAAAAGATGTTATTTACCAAAATTAGTCATTGCCCACCTGGATGGGGTCACAAAAAAAAAAAAAAAAAAAAAAAAAAAAAAAAATTCTGTCTGGAAAAACAAAAACAAAAAGTTTAAAAAAAAAGTGTTTTTTAAAATTTATTTTTTTTTATTTTTAGCTGGGTGTAGTAGCATATGCCTTTAATCCCAGCATTTTGGAGGTACAGGCAAGCAGAGCTCTGAGTTTAAAGCTAGCCTGATTTACATAGCTACAGGACAGCCAAGGCTAAAATAGCAAGACCCTGTCTCAGAAACAATAAAAAGTTTTATTTATATGAATATCTGTATACCTGCATGACTTTAAAAAGTGTACTCTGTGTGTCTAGGAGCCTATGGAAGCCAGAAAAGGGCATGGGATCCTCTGGAACTGCAGTTATTCAAGTGGTTGCCAGTTGCTCAACTTGAGTGCTGAGAAACTAACTCTGAACCCCTGGGAAAACAGCAAGCACTCTCAACCACTAAGCCAGCTCTCCAGTCTCTTCATATGTTTTTATTACTTTGCTAATTATGCATAATAATGGTTTCACCCTGACATTTTCCTATGTGCATGGTGCATTTGTATTGTGTTCCCCCATTCCTTTATCCCCCTTTCTCTTTCTCACTCCGGCTGCTACCTATTCTCTTCCCAGTAGCTCCCCCTCTGTTAACAGGGTTTTTTTTTTGTGTGTGTGACCAATAGTTTCACTAGGGTTGTTTACAGGACCCCAAATAGTGTGTTTATAGCTTCTAAAGACATTTATTCGTGTATTTGTGTATGTGTATCTGTGCACCTGACTGTGTGCCATAACATGTGTGTGGAAGTCAGAGGACACTTGAGGGAGTCAGTTCCCTCCCTTTCCCTTGTGGGAACCCTGGGATCAAACTCAGGTCAACAGGCTTGGGAACAGGTACCTTTGCTCCATTTTGCCAGGGTTGATTTTTTATTTTCTTTTATTATTTTTCTAATTTTAAATCTTATGTATGTGGGTGCCTGCATTCATGTCTGTGAACCACATGTGTAGCTGGTGCCTACAGAGGTCAGAAGAAGGCACCTGCCTTTCTGAAGTTACAGTTGCAGTCAGTTGCCAACTGCCACGCAAGTGATGGGAACTGAACGTAGGTCCTCTGGAAGAGCAGCCAGTGCTCTTAATCACTGAGCCAGCTCCAGCCCTCCCAGCCCTGTTTTTTTTTTTTTGGTTTGGTTTGAGATAGGGTCTTAATGTGTTGTAGACTTTGAACTCACTGTGTCGCCAATGTGCTGGTTAATGTTTCATCACCTTGACGCAAACTAGTGTCATCTGAGAAGAGGACGCCTCAATTGAGAAAACATCCTCCATCAGATTAGCCTGCTGTAATCAGTCTGTAGGGGCTTTTTCTTGATTAATGTTTGATGGGGGAGTCCCAGCACACTGTGGGTGGTGCCACCTGTGGGCCAGGTGGTACTGGGTTGTGTAAAAGAAACAAAACAAAACAAACAAACAAACAAAAAAGCAAACAACAACAACAAATCAGTAAGCAATGTTGTTCCTCTATGGTTCCGCTTCAGTTCCTGCCTCCAGGCTCTTGAGTTTCCCTTCAAGATAGACTGTAAGCTGTGAGATGAAATAAGGCCTTCTCCCCCAAGTTGGTTTTGGTCAGCGTTTTGTCTCAATAACAGAAAGTAAACTCATATACCCAAGATGGCCTCAGCCTCCCAAGAACGGAGGTTACAGGTATACACTGAGTCCAGCTTTCCCTAGCTGATTTGAAATCAAACCCCAAAATGTACCTTGGCACATTGTGCCACCTACACCTGGCCTATCTGTTGCCCTACCCCCCTACTCTCATTTCTTTTGCTCAGCCTCAGTGGTAGCCTTTCTGCCCCTCTAATTCCCCAGGGAGCCAGATCCCCCTCTCCTCACTTTCCACCCCCTGTACCCTCTGCAGGCCTTCACATGGATAATAGCTCCAGCCAGGTTTTCCTGGTCACCCCTACCTGCCCTCCTAGCCCACATCCCTTTTGACCATGTTCCCAGCAGTCACCCCATCCCCAGAATTGTCCTGCACACACTATTTCCCTTCCATCCCCCAGCAACTCCCCAGGGACCTCCCACATCTGCATGCTTCTGTGTGTAACTTCATTGTGCTTAACATGTATCCGGATGTCCCCTGCCTCTGTTCTCTCTATGACAGATCATAACTTGACATAGAGTCAACCAATAGGTGTTTTACCCCACAGCATGCCTTCAGCTGAACCAGCAGGGCAGCTGTGGGGACATAGAGTCAGTCAGTCCTGGACTTAGAAACTCTGGTGACAATCACAAACAATAAGGCCAGAGATGGCTTATGGGCCCCAATTCTGCTGAAAGACAATCTGGGTGTAGAGGGTGGCTATGGCAACACCAACAAGGCTCCCATCAGAAATCCCCATGCTTTCCTGGTCCTCCTGCTGGGCCTCTCTCTCACCTAGGACTCCATTGGCTCGAACACCAGCAGGATGCTGACCAGGCCCAGTGGGCCTTGGTGGGCTTTAATATGTGTGGACAGAATGAACATATGTGCAAATTCTGAGGTCAGGACAAAGACATGAGAAGCAGAGTACCTCCCCCTGGTGCCAGCCCACAGTGTGTTTGCTGGCCTGACTGCCTCCCCATCTAAAGGTTCATGTACTAAGCCCCACAGTGATCCTTTCTCTTGTAACTTTCAATTTTTTTCTTTTTATTAGTCTGGTGATGCTGTACATTTCAGGAGGCTCAGAGGGGTGGGTTTCTTCTCCTCTTCCTCTTTTTCTTCCTCCTTAGAATAGAGCAGGTGTGAAGAAGTCCCCTGGGCTGGCCTCCTGTTTGTGGCACTATGTTCACCCAAGGGAGGCCTAAGTCTCCAGGCTCTGGAAAACCACAGAGACCTCCTCCCCCAGTGGGTGGGGCCAGCTCAGAATCCCAGGTAGGAGAATAGGCAGAAGGAACTGGCTTGCACAGTTCACTCTATAGTGGAAGATCCTGAACTCTTGAACAGCTGGGGAAGTCTATATGCAGGTGCCTCCTGTCTACTGTTCAAGGGTCTCTGCTGATCCTTTTGGTTAACTAACGTGAGACACCCGTAGGCTTGATGAAGGATGAGGATCACACTAGACAGAAAGATGCCCAATCATGGTGCAACATGGAGAAAGTCATCCCCCTCCAGGCCCCCACTGCTAGTTCTAGGCCCCAAATCGCTATGTATTATTATTACTACTTGCTTATTTTTGATGTTTTAGGACAGGATCTCACTTAACACAAGCTGGCCTTGATCTCAGTATATAGCTGAGGATGACCTAGATCCTTCTGCCTCTACTTCCTAAGTGCTGGGATTATAAGTGTGTGTCATCATATCCCACTCTATTATTATTATTATCATCATCATTTTTATTATTTTACTGTTAGCAATGTGGATCATACCCAGGGCCATGCACTTATTAGCCAGGTACCAATGAGCTATCCAGAACTTACCTAGGAGGAGTGAGAAGGCATGAGTGGGGGAGGAAAAGCCAACTAGAGATCATCTCTGTCCAAACAAGAGTCCAAGCAAGATGAGGTTTAGATGGGTAACAGGAGGGCCCAAAGGGGAACCTGGCAATGCTCTGGGAAAAGAGACCATGGGTGGGTGGATGCTTTCCTGACGTGACCTGCATAGATATATTCTCTGGGTTGCTTTGAGGATACACTCTAGCACTGCAACCCCCTGTCTCAGCCTCTAAGGTTCTGAGATGACATCTGATAAGTCACCATCACACCTGGCATTTTTGTTCTGTTTTAGTTTTTCCAGCAAGGGACTGATGGTTTCATTGGTGTGTCACCACTGATTTGCAAGATGTGGGGAGGGGCAAGGCATTTAGTCAAATTTTATTCCCTACCATGACTTCAGGTAGTGAAGCCAGACACTAGAGACTCACAGTCACTAGAATACCTCTTGACCCAGACCTTACTGATTTTGGAACCTTGTCTGCTGTTTTGGTTAGGTTTCTTTGTTTTTGTCAATTTGACACAAGCTAGAGTCATCCTGAAAGACAAAACCCAACTGAGCATGTGCTTCCATCAGATTTAGCTTTAGGCAAGCCTGTGAGGGGCATTTTCTTATTTAATGATTGATGTGTTATGGCTTAGTCCGCTATGGACAGTCCACCCCTGGGCAGGAGAGCATTGGTTGTTTAAGAAACCAGGCTGAGTAAACCATGAAG